TATACCTCTAAATTACACCGTCAAATCCACGTAAGTATAATAAGGTGTTGGGTTTTCAAGTGATACTATACCTCTAAATTACACCGTCAAATCCACGTAAGTATAATAAGGTGTTGGGTTTTCAAGTGATACTATACCTCTAAATTACACCGTCAAATCCACGTAAGTATAATAAGGTGTTGGGTTTTCAAGTGATACTATACACTCTAAATTACATCATCAAATTCACATAAGTATAATAAGGTGTTGGGTTTTCAAGTGATAATATACACTCTAAATTACACCGTCAAATCCAGGTAAGTATAATAAGGTGTTGGGTTTTCAAGTGATACTATACACTCTAAATTACACCATCAAATCCACGTAAGTATAATAAGGTGTTGGGTTTTCAAGTGCTATATTATTCTTTTAACTTATGCAGCCTTCAAGCCACTTTATGTTCAGATCTTTCTGTTAAAAAACAAAGTGTATCTATATAGATATTTTCCTTTGAAGTTCATTAATTAAGTGTTAACTAGGTTACAAGTAACTAACAAATAACTGCCCAGAGCATATGTTCATCACTTACCCATAATCCACTTTTATGTGTTGACCATTAAAAAAGAACACTGTTGCAGGGACAATGGTAATATCAAAGTATTGAGTGTACACAGGCACTTTGTCTACATCCACTAAGTAGATATCTGCCATTTTAGACAACAAGACTGCAGTTTTACTGAGCTGTCAAATTTTAAAATTACGATGTTAGCAACAATAAACATTTTATTACTAACAATGAATACATACAAAAATTTTTACTTTGATATTAAGATTATGATAATCTTCACAAACAAAAAGTTAAAAGGATTTACTTATTGTAAATATCCACATATTTAAAAGTTTTTACAATTTATAGTTTCTAGAGTTATGCGTCCCCCACAAAATTTTGGGAAATACTAAAAGTCTCAGGGTATGCTTCAAGCTTAAGAAAACCAAAAATGAAATTTTGGGCATTTAACATATTTGCATGTACGAGTCGTCTAGCTCATTTAAAAAAACATTTCATTTCGGTCAAGAAAAATTAAGATGAATTTTTGCCACCAAATCTTCACGCTCAGAATTAGTTACTGTTTGTTTTGTGTGTTTTTTCTAAAAGAAAAATTTCAGAATTTTGTTTTTGACTAATCTTTGAATAGTTTAAAATCTTGTTATGTTATAAAATTTAAAGAAATTCCTGTAGCAGGCTTTCCAATGCCAGCAATGCACTGATGGACAGCTACCCGTATCAATATTAACACATATCTTTGGACAGCTACCCGTATCAATATTAACACATATCTTTGGACAGCTACCCGTATCAATATTAACACATATCTTTGGACAGCTACCCGTATCAATATTAACACATATCTTTTTAACACGTAAACTAAGCTCCTTTTGTTGTATGCAAGGAAATCAAATATTTAACTTTCATTGCAATGTTTTTACAATCTATTTTAACTTCATTTTTTGATGTTATATGCACAAGCTCTAAAAGTACTAATGAAATGTAAAATATTTCCAATGACAAACTAGAGAACCAATATCACCTAATATGTACACTATATTCTCACCACACCTTTAAAAACAAGGTGGAGGAGAAACATCATGTTTTACTATTTAAACAAGAGAGCCCACATTTTGTGTTAATCACAACCTGAATTATTATTAATGCCTCCCACTAACTGTTTACAAACATCTGATGGAGTGAGTTGTTATTCCTTCTGTAACCAGCTGAAAGAAAAGGAATATTTTTGGATCTGTCTTTTCTCTCCCTTTCAGACCATACTCCAGACTGTTTTTTCTATCAGATGGAGGTTTGAATATGCTGTAATCAAAACAGATCTGATGGACTATCTCAAATTTCT